TTGGATTCTGACCTCCACATGGGCTGAGATGTCTGGAGATGGAAACATCCGGCAAAAAAAGCCTTCATGTGCCAGTCAGCATCTTACAAAATAATTTCATGTATTGACCTGGCATTTGTGGGAGAATTGTCCTGCCCAGGATCAGGCATATTTTAATCTTTCCGAAGGTGATCTCTGATCATGCACCAATGTTGCTGCAGATTACTGTTTTATATAACCTCTTTGACAGACAGCAGCTCTCTAGATTTTGGATTGCTGATGTTAGAGAGGAACCAAGTTTTAGGGAGCAGCTCAAGGAGTGTCAACCCCAATTTTGCACTGGATGCTCCAATGTGGGATGATTTTAAAGCATTCACTAAAGAACAATATCAATCCCTGATAGGATTGAGTCTGAAGCTTCTGACTTCAGGGGTGTGGACATTTTTTAAAAAACAACTTGTCCAGGGACTAAATCGGTGTCCCAATCTACTTGTCCTGATAGGAAAACATAAATTTTAACCAAAACCATATTTAAATTTGCTTTAAGTAATGTCTGGGGCTTTTAAAATCAAAAGTGGCTTTATGACGACTTAAACATTTAATTCTTTTAACATTGCGCTGTTTATTTCCTTCTGCCCTCCCTGTATCTCTCCAGCACCGCACCCGGGGACTAGCAGGGAGGAGAGACACCTTGCAGTGTAATGAGCACCAATTGGGTGCTCGTCGGGAAAAGGGAGTGTCGGGCTTATCCTTTATCCATTTCGCTGCCAGAGCGGTTTTTGCATTTTTTTGCACACGTTTAAAAAATCATTTAAGGCCTGAAGATGACACAAAACCCCCAACATTATATATTTTCTGAAATCAGAGATCCTAGAGAATAAAACAGCGGTAGTTTACATTTTTTATGTCACACAATATTATCACAAAGGTAATTTTAGAGCACAAAAAGCAATAAATTATCCAATTTTTTGTAAAATATAAAAGACAAGGTTGCATCAAGTAAATGGATATCCAACATTTATTTGTGTGCACTCGTGAAACGGCAACAAACATTAGTACCCTATATTTTCAGTAGGCAGTGCTTATAAAGCCCCTTTTAGGTCATCAGTTTAGCTTTACGGAGGTGCTAGAATGATTTCTCTCAATCTGGCATGTGCGGTGATATGTGACATGTGTATCGCAGTCGATGTTTTCATGTGTAGGTGCCTAAGCACGTGCTTTTACATTTGTGGGTGTGGGGGCCTTGAAAATGTGGGGGTTATATGCTTGAATGTAACTTCCTTTTTTTTTCTTAAAAAGTCCCCTATGGGATGATTTTTTGGTGGCAGGTTCTCTTTAAAAGACCCTGGATATCTCCCCTGTGCTCCACTGATTGTAATGCAGTGCACATCGCACCACATTGCATTCTTTCCCAGCCTCAATGACCGGGAATCTGTAAAAAAGGGACTCGAAAGTGACGTCACATCACTTCCGGGTCGGGACAAGAAGAGAAGGCCGCTCTCCTCCCTCCCCTATACCACATCCCGCCGGCACCCACTGAACCAGTCCTGGGCCTGCAGGTTTGCAAGCAGAGCCTGGGACATATAGCGGGCAGGGGGAAGAGGCTGGCACTGTGGGCTGTGTGGAAGCAATTGGGCAGCAGCGCTGCCGCTCTAATGCTTCCACCTGACAGGTGAGCCCTGCTGCTTGCCCGCAGTAGGGCTAAAGGCAAAAAAACCTACCTGCCTGGCACCCGAAACTGCATGTCCCAGGCGTCGGGCCATATGAATTGCACATCCCTTTGACTTGGAAAGACAATATAGCCAGGCTGGGGATTTAAAGTATTATAATAGACTACCTTTCTTGGGAAATGATCCTCCTTTGTATGTCTGTGACTAAAAAGCACCTATTACACCAATCTCAGAAAATCTTTGTCATCGTCAGTGAGTGTACCCCAAATCCTTAGCCCTACAGGTGAAACACTCACACACTCTGTGGTGATTAATGATTGTTAATTATTGGGAACTTTATAGTTCCTGGGTGAATTATACTGCTAGTGACTTCCAGACTTACTTAGCTGCTGTTAACCTCCCAGTTTTCATGACTTCAGATACAGAACAGCTGGACTCCCCTATCACACTCTAGGAGGTCCAAAAAGCCCTATAAATCCTCCAATCCAAAGAGACTCCTGGACCTGATGGGTTTCCTGTGGAATTTTTATAAAATCTTAGCTGAGGAATTGACTGAGGAATTAACCCCCCACTTTCATTCAATGCTAGTGGCCTCCCAAGAGACAGCCTCCCTTTATGGCCTTGAAACCTGGCAAGAATTTTGATTTTTGCTCATCCTAATGCCTCGCCTCCTCGTTGAATGTGGATGCTAAACGTTTGACAAATATATTAGCCAATCATCTTAATACCGTTATCACAGCATTGATACATCTGGGCACAGATATTAACATCCTCTCGCTTATATACTCACATGGCCTTGGGTGCTCCAGACCACCCAGGGCTAGTGGCCTCTCTGAGGCTGAAAAGAGTTAGATTCTGTTGAGTGGGGTTACCTCTGGGCAGTCTTGGAGAACTTTGGTTTTGGTCCCAAATCCATTTCATGGCTCATATTACTGTATACTTATCCCGTGGCCCGGGTAAGGACCAATGGTACTCTCTCTTTTTTCCCCTGAGTAGAGGGACAAGGCAGAGTTGCCCCCTCTTCCCAGGCCTATTTGCTTTGGCCTTAGTGCCCCTGGCGATCTTTATCCTTCCAAGGGTGGAAGGAAAGAAAATTGCATGATTTTCCCCATCAACACAGTCAATGTTAATGGGGGAATGTCCCCCACAGTGCTATTGTGTTCTGCTAGCAGGGAACCTTCTCTGCCAGCAGAACACAGTGATCACTACCAGCTGCTATAGCCAGCGGCAGTAATCACATTAAGAAAATCGGACAGGCTGGTTGTACTAAAGTCGATCTATGGACCAACTTCAGTACAACCAGCCTTCTCATCCATGGATCGAATCTTGGCCGGTCCCTGCTGAACTGGCCAAGATTTGATCCATCTATGGCTGGCTTTAATGTACATATTTCCTTTGCCTTATGTTTATATTTTCACTATGTGGTATGACTGTAGTTATATTGGAATGCTTTGGAATGTTGTACTACACTGTACTATTTGGATTATTTCTGACTGTGGCATTGTTGGTTGTTACTTGGTAAATCTTTAATATGCTTTGTATTGTTAAATAATAAATAAAAACTGAACTTCAGGCCATGAGGTTAATACACATTTGAAGTACAAATGTTTGATATGCCGAATAAATTGTAATTCTGCTCAGCCAGTCATTATGGTGACCAGACACCTTTCTCAGACAGGATAACCAATTCCTGGGCATCTCTGCAGAGTACACATCAGATAGACTTAGTAGCCTGGTGTAGAACCCATCTTGTCACTAAACTATAAGGCTTCATGCACACTGGGTGTTTTTCTTCCTCCCTTGGATGCCTTTCTCCAGGGAAGGAAAAAGCAGCATTAAGAATGCACCCAAAGCTGTGTTTTGTAAATGCGTTTAGGTGCATCAAGTGCTTGGGCGTTCATTCATTCATTCAGTCCATTGGCCTGATTCTAGCCATTGGAATGAATGAAGGCTCAAGCACTAAACACTCCTAGTGCTTACGTGTGTTAGACACATCAAGAATGTTTTACTCTGAAATGCTTCTTTCCTGAATGCACTTGGCCTTGGGGTTTTTTTCTGCCTCTAAACGCTCCTGCTTGTAAATGTCTGTAAATGCCCCTGTGTGCATGGATACATAGGCTAACATAGAGGCATAAAAAAAAGACAAACACCCTTAAAGTGGTGTTTTTGACACCTAGTGTGCATGAGGCCTAGTAGAGTAGATCATCCCTTTTACTTTCTCTTTACTTTAATCTTTACTTAGTTAAAATTTTAAGATGCAAAAACATACTGTATGCCATAGTCAAATATGTGGGTTGCATAGGAGAACAAAATGTAGAGAGGAATATAGATTGGGAGGGACACAATGGTTACAAATAGTGTCATATATATTTGACTCAGATTTTTATTCTGTATATTCCAACAGAGAAGATTCTTCCTTGTTTCTTGTGTGGTCACTGAAAGAGGAAGGGAAAGGTTTCCAACAGGGACACAGCAACTTAAGCTAAACAGAGGTTTAAAAAGACTTTTCCTTTCTACATTCACTTGTAATGTGTCTCAGAACTTTCTAGCAAATATGACTTCTTCAGGAAGAGTCAATTCATTAGCACAGCCCCATCCCCCTTCATGTTATAGCCCACTCCTCTTCTGGGAGTGTCTAAATACTGTCTCTGCTGTCCCCACCCCACCTTCTCTGTATAATCTATTCTCCATACACTACAATTTGTGGCCCTTATTATTTGTTTAATTTCAATATTACTAAAATTATTTTTGTTAAATACAGCAACCCTAAGTTTCAAATACTTAAAGTATGCCACATTCCTTACACCTACACTCCTGGGACCTGTTTTCAGCCAAAAGCCGGCTAAAGTCCACTGTCAACTGATGTCACTCAGCCAGTCCAGGCTCTGAAAGGATCCCAACCATATGGTCGGGATCCACCCAGAAGTCTGGACTGGCACCTGGCTCAGCCTCTCAGTGATCCAACGAAAGCCTGAGCCGGTCCCTCCCAACCCTTCCACAGCCTGGTGCTCCAGTGAGTGCTGCAGGCAGAGAATAACAAGCTGTAGTTTGACAGTCACGGCTGTTTGCTCAGAGCGGAGAGGGACTTGACCGATCAGAGGCTTTTGATCGCTTAGTTCTCACTGCAGAGCCGGCAGGGGACAAATGCATCATCGAATTGATGCTGCATCTACCTAGGTGAGTATAAATGTTTCTTTTTCTTTTTTTTTTAAGTCCATGCTTTCTCTTATAGAGGTTGAAAAAAATTGCTTTACGTTAATTAAAAATATTTACTTATTGAAATAGCGAGGGTTTTTGATCACCCTCTTACTATATGTAATATCATACTAATTGCTTAATTTTTTCCTTCAGGTTGTGGGAACTCCATGTTACATCTCTCCAGAACTATGTGAAGGAAAGCCCTACAACCAGAAAAGTGACATCTGGGCACTTGGATGTGTCCTCTATGAACTTGCAAGTCTTAAAAGGGCATTTGAGGCGCCGGTAAGAGCAAATCTCACTTAACTGTGCCTTATGGTGTCACCCGTGTGTTCATTTAGAGCAGAGAAAGCTGTTTTAGAACATTGTTCCAGAAAGCATGCTGAAACTTGTAGTCACCCTCTAGATAGCGGTTATAGATTCACAAAACATTGATCAGAGAATCTTCTAAGGGAAAACGCAAACATAGAGTCTGTGTAGACCCATTTATTGAAATGATATGAAAGTGACCAGAAATACAAAGCAATGTGTTTATATGTTGCAGTATCAGGTCCCTTACAGACCTGATCACCATATGATTGTTCTGTAGAATGATTGTGGTACAAACGTGGATGGTCACATCAGCTGAATGTTTTGTGGTTATGACTTCTGCAGACATCATAGCAGCAGCAGCAGCAGCCTCATTTAGGTTAAATAATAGCGATTTTACTAGGAAAATGAATTGCGGGTAAATTTTTTTTACCCAAAATTGTTCTGCTTAGAGGTGTCTGTACAGTTGTTATGAGTTCTTTTTAGGATATAAAATGCAAGAAAAATGGAACAATCTGCAAGTGGATAACATATTTCAGAGGTACATAATCTTGTTTTCTGAAGCTTGTGAAGTGGGTTACTGTTTAACCTTTCTAACACATTTTTTGCTTGTGACATGAAACCAAGACTCTTTCTACAAGGGTAAGGACCGAGTGACAGTTTCATACAAGGGCAGCCAAACAACCTCGTGGTATATGTTTTTTTTAGCACTGGAAATAACTTATCTTTAAAAAGCATCTCAGTGACAGGCTCATACCTGCTACCTGAACCTTTATTTGCCCGTGAAATATCATTACTTCCAGACAATGATGTTATCTGGTCACCTTTTGACTCAGTGTTTCTGGGAACTGTATTGTAACAAAATTCATAAAAAAACAGTGTAAAAAAATCTGCATGCAAAAACGCACTGCAAAACGGAGAAAAAAGAAAATTGCATTGGTGTGAACCAGGCCTGAAATGCATTGAAAACGCAGCAAAAATGCATAAAAAATTAAGGTGTTATGTTTTTGATGTGTTTTGTGTTTTTAATCTGCCCAGCAACAAGTTGGCCAAAAAAACAACACAAATTGCATAAAAAAATGCATCATAAACGCGCATGCAAAAATGCAAAATGTACTGCAAAACGGACAAAACACAAACTGCATTGGTGTGAATCAAGCCTGAAATGCATTGAAAACCCATAATAAACGCACACATGTTGCGGTTTGATGCATTTTTTTGAGTCACATGACCTATGAAAAATGCACCCTAAACGGGGTAAAAGCATGGCAAAATCACAGCTAATATCGCTGGCAAACTCATATGTTTTTTCCGGCCATTATCGGCACCTTTTTTACTATCGGCAAAATGCCGATAACATTATTTTTGGCCGATACATTTCAGCCGCCGATATTTCAGTGCATCCCTAGTCACCTTATCTAGTAAAAGCTGCAAATTGGTCATCCCACAGCTGGTATTTATCAGTTTTGGTAATGAATGGCTGCTGCAGCCAGTGTAATCATCTGAGCACATTATCAGCGTATTTATTGCCACTTTCATTGTCCACCATTATTAGGAAATTAAATTTTGGGTCGAGCGTGCCAGTTTACACATCTAAAGATCAATATAAATCCATCTGGTCTGTGTTCCGGCAGATTTGTTGTCTGTACATTTATTTTGTCAGGTGACAAATTTTATTGTTCTAGGCAATATGGTTTAACTAGTTGCCGACTGCAGATAGCCGAATGACGGCTGCACTGCGGCCGACCAGTTCTGGGTGGACGTCATATGACGTCCTCCCAGAACACGCTCTCCTGCGCGCCCCAGGGGGCGCGCACCCGGCGTTCTCCGTGATCGCTGTGTCCTACGGACACAGCTGATCACGTGATGTGGTAAAAGGCCAATCACAGCGGCCTTTTACCACGTGATCAGCCATGTCCAATGACACGCTGATCACAGGGAAATGCAATTGCCGGTTCTCGGCTGCACTTTCCTCACGCTGTCAGATCGTGAGGAAAGTACTGCCGTGAACCGGCAGTTGTCAGAGCGAGGATCGGCACCGATCATCGTGCCCAGCAGTGCCACCCACAAGTTCCGCCCACCTGTGCTCAGCAGTGCGCCCACTAGCTCCGCCCACCTGTGCCCAGCAGATGACCCACCTGTGCCCAGCAGATCACCCACCTGTGCCCAGCAATGCACCCACCTGTGCCACTCTGCAGTGTCACACACCTGTCCCCAGAAGTGCCACCTTCCTGTGCCCAGCAGTGCCACCCACCTGTGCCCACCCACCCACCTGTGCCCAGCAGTGCCACCCACCTGTACCCACCCACCAGTGCCACCCACCAGTGCAGCCCAGCAGTGCTGCCAGTCAGTGCCACCAGTCAGTGCCCAGCGGTTGTGCCAGTCATTGCCGCCAGTCAGTGCCCAGCAGTGATGCCAGTCAGTGCCGTCTATCAGTACCCATCATTAGTGTCACCTATCAGTGCCTCCTATCAGTGCTGCCTATCAGTGCCGCCTATCCGTGCCACCTCATTAGTACTGCCTATCAGTGCCCTTTAGTGCTGCCTATCAGTGCCCATCAGTGCCGCCTATCAGTGCGCATCAGTTCTGCCTATCAGTGCCCATCAGTGCTGCCTCATCAACACACATCAGTGAAGGAGAAAAATTACCTGTTTGAAAAATTTTATAATAGAAACAAAGAAACTTTTTTTTTTTTTTTCAAATTTTTTGCACTTTTTTTGTTTATAGCGCAAAAAGTAAAGCGCCCAGTGGCGATTAAATACCACCAAAAGAAAGCTCTATTTGTGAGAAAAAAATGATCAAAATTTCATATGGGTACAATGTTGCATGACCACGCAATTGTCAATCAAAGTGCGGCAGCGCTGAAAGCTGAAAATTGTCCTGGTAAATAAGGGGGTATAAGTGCCTGGTAGGCAAGTGGTTAATGCAGGCAATAGAGGGGGTCATTTATCGGCCGAGTTTTTGTCTGCACGAAAAATAGGCTGATATTCACGCCGTTAGTGGGGCCAGCCCGTCGGCCATTTTTCGTGGATCTCCTCCTTTATTTTTATCAGTCATGCTGGAAAATCCGCAAAAACAGCCGTTTTTCGTGGACATTGGTGGCAGCATCGGCAACGGGGGCCACCGATTGTTCATTTATCGGCCGAAAATTCGAAGCTGTCTTACACAGCTTTCCAAGAGGCTACTTATCCTAATTTGTTGCATCTTTTCCCATTGATTTGGGGGCAGCAATTGTATGATTTAATATCAGTACTTTATTCTGTAATCTGCAGTGTAATGGTACATTCTGGCCAAAATATAAAATTAAGCCTAGAAATTCCTAATGGGAACATATTATATTTTTCCAGGGCTTCTGTTTTATTTATAACATATAGCTGTAGCAAACCTAACTACCCCACTATTTAGAATTGTTTTGTTGTTGGACATTGCACTGCACAGAATCATTTCATAACCTGACTGTGCGGACATGTGCATTGTGGATTTTAGCTGTGCTGGGTTACTTTACTGGATTATTTAAGGTGGCCATACACTGTGATAGTTCATCAAGAACCATCCAAAATTTGCTATGGGGGTTGCTCTGTTGGGTGTCATCTGCTTACAGATAGTATTTCAAGCCATGGGAGGCTATGAGCTGACCCAGGGAGGAGGTGCAGATGGAGAATAGAAGGGGTCCATGGACAAAGCCTTGGGAGAAACCTTACTGAAAGAGGAGAGAAGGAGGTTGACTATTGGTTTTAGCAGATAGTAGCTCGGTTCACGCTTACTGAAAGTCGGTTGGGTTCAGCAGGAACAAGTCAACCCTCGGTAGATGTGTACTACTGTTTGTTCAACAGGAGCTGGTCTAACAGCCGTCTTTGGTCAAACACTCTTGCTGGAAAACCGGCATTCGATCAGAGCTTGCATCCAATGGTTGCAAGCACTGATTAATGTTTTCTGGTTCTGCTGGCTGAACAGAAAAAACTGAATGTGTATACCAGCTTAAGTACAGTATATGGAGTAGGACCAGTGGTTTTAGCAGATAGTAAGTCATTAGTGAGTTTTAAGAGGACGGTTCTGTGCAGTGTTGTGGGCAAAAGTCAATCTGAAAGAGGTCAAGAAGGTTTGTACAGTGGAAGTTCAGATAGCTGTAGACTAGGCATTTTAGAAGAAAGGTTATTTACACTAGAGGGGCCAGAAAGAGCAAAGGGAAATTCTAGTAGAGAGGGAGAGTTAGAAGATGTGAGTTAATCCAGCCATAGATGGATTCAAAATTTGACCGGTTCAGCAGGCACCAGCTAAATTTCTTTTCATCTGTGGTCATTCCTGCTCAACAGAAATCAATCTAATGGTCGAATTCTGTCAAACGGGCTTGTTGGAACATTTTTATTCAACCAATGGCTACAACTAGTTGACTGCAGCACTGATCAGTGTATTTTGACAGTGGAGGATCCCCGCTGTCAAAATGCAGTTGCGGAGGGGATTCCTCTATCCACCTCGTTTTTGTGGATCAGACAGCCTGCTGTCTGATAGAAAAAAAGCAACTTATCTATGGCCAGCCTTAGAGAGTGTAGAATAGAATAGAGGATGATCAGAGCAGTTGTGAGTAGCAAGTCTAAGACATGCAAAGTTTTAAAACAGTCACAAAACATAAATGAATATGATGTTAATTTAACGTGGTGTGAATTTACAATAGTCCTCAGTGCTTACAACCTCACAATATTGTGTGTGTGCTTTTATGTGTAGAACTTGCCTGCTTTAGTGCTGAAGATCATGAGTGGGACTTTTGCCCCTATTTCTGACCGATACAGTCCTGAACTCCGCCAGCTTATACTTAGCATGCTGAACCTGGATCCTTCCAAGCGACCCCAGCTGAATGAGATCATGGCTCATCATATCTGTATACCTGCACTTCTTAATCTGTACAGTGACATTGGCAGTGTCAAAATGAGGTCAGTATAATAAAAAAAGAGAAGTATGGACTTAGAAAAAAACCAAACATGTATACTCACATAGGTGGATGCCGATCCGATGCTGGCTCTTCAGTGAAAACTTAGCAGTCAAACAGCACTGATCGCTCAGTTCTCCCCTCCGCTCTGAGCAGAGTGATGACTGTCATTTACTGGCTGTATTCTTTGCCTTTCCAGTGCTTACTGGAGCACTGGGCTGTGGAGGAGGTGGGAGGGGCTGGCCCAGGCTCTCGGCGGATCACTGAGAGGCTGAGCCAGGTGGTTGTCCAGGCATCTGGGTGAATCCTGACCATATGAATTTTAGCCCACTGTCAGCTGAAAACGGAAAACAGGAGTGCAGTTTGTTCTATCCACATCGGCTTGCTTACAGTGATTAAATTTTAGGGGTCGCCTAAAGACAAGACAGAATAGGAGATAACTGAACAGAATGAAGTAGGGAGTTCCAGAAGATAGGAGAAGCTCTAGAGATGTGCTGCAGATGAGAATAAGAGGAGGTGGCTAGGAAGCTAGGGAGTAAGGGGTCTTTGGAGAAGCAAAGAGAATAGTTTGGTTATTATTTTAGTTATTTTAGGACAAGGTTGGTGATGTAGAGGCAGAGTTGTGTATGTCTTTGTAAGTTGTTAAAATTTTGAGTTGTAATTGATGGTCTGTAGAAAAAGGGAGTTGGTTAGGAAGGGGCATATTTTGGAAATATTACTGAGGTGAAGGTAACATCTAACATCCTAGTATGATGGGATTGAAGCACAGCGGTAGAGGATAAAAGGGCTCTGAGTATAGAGACTTGGGAACCCCTATGGAAAGAGGATAAAAAGAGAAGGAGATAGAGTTATAGGTGAAAAATTAGAAAGGTAGAAAAAACTGAAAAGACTAATCGGTGAGGTAGCAGTTCGGATGGTTGTAGACTAGGTGTTCTAGGAGGGGGCAGGTGGTGAGATGTGCATCAGAGAATAGTTTAGCACCTGCCTCTCTAGTAACAGGGTCAAAAGAGAAGATTTCTAAATATGGTGGTAGATATGGGAATTTAACTGGGGGAGATAACAGGACCATGACAATCTTATCACAAATTGCATCTATGTTGTTTTTGTAATGAATGTCAATGTCCTGGGCAGACAGGAGTGTACCTTAAACCTCCTGTCAATCATTTAATTTCCTTTATATCCTCAATAGTTGTTTATGGGACAGTTTTTGTTCTACTTAATAATGGTCCAACCAATTGTTTATTACATTTTTTCATTTTTCTCATTTTTGATTTGTTTAGTAACCAAATATTTATTCTCTGCAGGGTAGAGAAGCCTCTGGCAGCAATGCCTGCAGTGACTCGTGGCCGACCGGCTGGACGAATCCCCAGCGCCAGATCCCGAGGCGAGCAGCTTTTAATTGTAGCGTAATGCACTTGATAATTCATGCCATTAGTGCAGCATCCTATTCCTGTAAATTAGTTTACGATGAACAGTAGATGATGTAGTCATTTGCTCTCCTCAGCCTCCTTCCTTCTGTTGGAATACAGCACTACAGCTGTACATAATTTAGTGAGTTACCGGCTAATGCTTGATCCCGTGTTGTAAATCTTCTAATGAAAATCTGAAGAATTATGTACTGTTTCCTGAGGAGATATATGAATATCATTTGTCACTAGCATAAACATCTCATCTTTGCACTAATGAAATACTTCTCTAGAGTTGCTGTCCATTCATTTAACATGACAGGTGCCTATTAGCAAGCCAGAGGGAGTTTTCTTTAACACATTCCTTTATTTCCTAGTATTATCACCAAGGTTTAGACACAGCATGTTTTTATGGAATGATATATTGAGAGCTTCAGTTAACTGTCATATTTATGTTGATTTGTTACAATCAGGTAGCCGTGTTGGGTATTCTGCGAAAACAGGCATTCCTCCCCCACTGTCCTCAGTGTACACATGGGGAAGTGGGATCACCTCCCCTCTCCGACTGCCCATGCTGAATACAGAGGTAGTCCAGGTATCAGCTGGGAGGACACAAAAAGCTGGAGTCACCAAGTCTGGAAGGCTCATCATGTGGGAGGTGAGCATCAGAAAACTCTGACCCAGGTTTCTAGTACTAGGCATTCAACAAGAGAAATATGCAATTCTTAAGTATCTCAAGCATGTGCAAGCCCATCATAAAGAGTAATTTAAGAAATTGTACAAATCCTTTTCACAGTAGTGGGCTAGATTTATGTGGCCTGGGATGCAAATGTAGTACATTATCCCTAGTTGATTAAGTACTATAACAGGGAAATGGGAAGGGAAAGGATTGCCAAGGTAGCCAATTATGATGGCTATGCAGCCCTATTATTTTTAAGAGCAGCTTCTTAACTTTTGCAAAGTGCTTTACGTATATGTATTGTACACTCACATCAGTCCCCCAAGGAGCTTACCTCTCATGTATACAAACACATATTAGGGCTAATGTGGACTGGAGCAAATTAATCTACCAGCAATACTTTAGAGTGTGGGAGGAAACCCATGCAAGCTAATGGAAAACAAACAAACTTTGTGCAGGTAGAGTTGTGGTTGGGATTCAAACCAATGAACCATCATGCTGTAATGTAGAAGTACTAACCACTAAGCTACTGTGCCGCTGTTATGATCTGAGGCCTGCCCTATTGCTAAATCAAAAGAAATGGAGGACCCTAATGCACTTCTGCAAGCCCTGCCATGCTTGTGGCTTTGACATTTAGAGAGGTGATGCAAAATATAGTTCCATCTACTAATGGTAATGTGAATGTGTAACTTCAGACAACAGTTTATTACCTTTTTATAAAGTGGGGGAATGGTTTTCTTTTATCTTTGCTGTCTCTGGTCCTGTTGGGGAGTTTTCCCTTACTATGTATTCTGGATACATTGTTGCTTTGAAACAGAAAAAGAGGGGAAATTTCAGAGAGCACATAGAGAGCAATAAAAAGCTGTTGGAGCAGTGGTTCTCAACCTTTCTAACGCCGCGACCCCTTAATACAGTTCCTCATGTTGTGGTGACCCCCAACCATAAAATTATTTTCGTTGCTACTTCATAACTGTAATTTTGCAGTAGGAGGAATAGTGCCACGTCATTGGTGTCAGTGGGAGGAATAGTGCCCCATCATTGGTATCAGTGGGAGGAATAGTGCCCCAGTGGGAGGAATAGTGTCATTGGTGTCAGTGGGAGGAATAGTGCCCCGTCATTGGTGTCAGTGGGAGGAATAGTGCCCCGTCATTGGTGTCAGTGGGAGGAATAGTGCCCCGTCATTTGTGTCAGTGGGAGGAATAGTGCCCCGTCATTGGTGTCAGTGGGAGGAATAGTGCCCCGTCATTGGTGTCAGTGGGAGGAATAGTGCCTCGTCATTCGTATCAGTGGGAGGAATAGTGCCCCATCATTGGTGTCAGTGGGAGGAATAGTGCCACGTCATTGGTGTCAGTGGGAGGAATAGTGCCCCATCATTGGTATCAGTGGGAGGAATAGTGCCCCGTCATTGGTGTCAGTGGGAGGAATAGTGCCCCGTCATTGGTGTCAGTGGGAGGAATAGTGCCCCGTCATTGGTGTCAGTGGGAGGAATAGTGCCCCCCGTCATTTGTGTCAGTGGGAGGAATAGTGCCCCGTCATTGGTGTCAGTGGGAGGAATAGTGCCCCGTCATTGGTGTCAGTGGGAGGAATAGTGCCCTCGTCATTGGTATCAGTGGGAGGAATAGTGCCCCATCATTGGTGTCAGTGGGAGGAATAGTGCCCCATCATTGGTGTCAGTGGGAGGAATAGAGCCCCATCATTGGTGTCAGTGGGAGGAATAGTGCCCCATCATTGGTGTCAGTGGGAGGAATAGTGTCCCATCATCGGTATCAGTGGGAGGAATAGTGCCCATCATTGGTGTCAGTGGGAGGAATAGTGTCCCATCATTGGTGTCAGTGGGAGGAATAGTGCTCCATCATTGGTATCAGTGGGAGGAATAGTGCCCCATCATTGGTGTCAGTGGGAGGAATAGTGCCCCATCATTGGTGTCAGTGGGAGGAATAGTGCCCCATCATTGGTATCAGTGGGAGGAATAGTGCCCCATCATTGGTATCAGTGGGAGGAATAGTGTCCCATCATTGGTATCAGTGGGAGGAATAGTGTCCCATCATTGGTATCAGTGGGAGGAATAGTGCCCCATCATTGGTATCAGTGGGAGGAATAGTGCCTCATCATTGGTGTCAGTAGGAGGAATAGTGCCTCATCATTGGTGTCAGTGGAAGGAATAGTGCTCCATCATTGGTATCAGTGGGAGGAATAGTGCCCCATCATTGGTGTCGGTGGGAGGAGGAATAGTGTCCCATCATCGGCATCAATGGGAGGAATAGTGCCCCATCATTGGTATCAGTGGGAGGAATAGTGCCCCATCATTGGTGTCGGTGGGAGGAATAGTGCCCCATCATTGGTGTCGGTGGGAGGAATAGTGTCCCATCATTGGTGTCAGTGGGAGGAATAGTGCTCCCATCATTGGTATCAGTGGGAGGAATAGTGCCCCATCATTGGTGTCAGTGGGAGGAATAGTGCCCCATCATTGGTGTCAGTGGGAGGAATAGTGCCCCATCATTGGTATCAGTGGGAGGAATAGTGTCCCATCATTGGTATCAGTGGGAGGAATAGTGCCCCATCATTGGTATTAGTGGGAGGAATAGTGCCCCATCATTGGTATCAGTGGGAGGAATAGTGCCTCATCATTGGTGTCAGTAGGAGGAATAGTGCCTCATCATTGGTGTCGGTGGGAGGAATAGTGCCCCATCATTGGTGTCGGTGGGAGGAATAGTGCCCCATCATTGGTGTCGGTGGGAGGAATAGTGTCCCATCATTGGTGTCAGTGGGAGGAATAGTGCTCCATCATTGGTATCAGTGGGAGGAATAGTGCCCCATCATTGGTGTCAGTGGGAGGAATAGTGCCCCATCATTGGTGTCAGTGGGAGGAATAGTGCCCCATCATTGGTATCAGTGGGAGGAATAGTGCTCCATCATT